GCGCTGCTTGTAATGGCTTGCAGAAGGATTTTTGTGGGGAGGGGCAGTCCTGTTACGCCAGCGAAACCCATAATCACCTGACAGACATGTGTTTCTGTTTTGGTGAAATTGGCTCCTACGACGGGAAAGCCGCAGCGGCGTTCTCGTAACTCAAAGGGGTCGCTGGGAATGTTGGAACCGTTGGGGCGAGCAAGGAACGGGACGGCAGCGAGCTAGTGAATAAATGCCCCAAAGTCATCGCGTGTCATCGAGGGTGACTTTCCGCTCCGCTGGCTACAGCATTATTGTAAATGGAGCCTGCAAAGGAATTCAGTATCCCCCCCTTGCAGAGTTACCCGTCCCTCCCTAGAGCAACGCTTGTGAGCTCTCTCCCCGGAGCCGTGCTGGTCCACCTCTAATCAGACCGGTCCCTGCTCAGCCTCCTTTCCGTGCTGAGCCCTGGAACTGACGCCCGGATGGGAGGCCGAGGCTGACAGATGCTGATTAGAACGAGGATGTTCCCGGTTCTAGCTGAACGCCAGCACCCAAGCATGTGTGACGGGCGAGGGAGTGTCGTGGGCCTCCGTGGGCAGCGTGCCCCCCATTGCCTGTGGCATTGTGCCGTGGGGTGAGTGCCCACCGGGTGTGGCATTTCTCTCCCTGAGCATGTGGTCGGCCTGCTTGGCAAGTGCCAACCCAGTGCAGTGATCTCAGCCCGGGTGTCTCGCTGGGCTGTCGCCGCTCGTCCGCCGCCACCTCTCCGAAAGCTCCCCGTTACGCCCGCAGTGACACCCACACAGACGGGCTGCCCCGAGGCACCTGGTGGCCAGAGGGCGGAGCGGCAGGTTGCAATGCTCCATTTGTAACGCGCCTGCCTTCTGCTTCCAGATAACAAGAGCAACATCGACGCCCATCTCTGCCAGCAAGGAGGCATGTTTATGTGTCCCAACACCACCCAGGACCCCCACAAAGAGGCCACCAGCATGTGGGCAATGATGGTGGTAGCCCAGCTGCTGGCTGGCATCGGGACCGTTCCCATTCAGCCCTTTGGGATCTCCTACGTGGACGACTTTGCTTCGGCCAACAATTCTGCGCTGTACATTGGTGAGTACCAGGCTTCTGCTGCTAGCAACACCCTGACACAACACCCACACAACACCCTGACACAACACCACATACCCTGGCTGTGTCTCCGATACGTGTGGTGGAACATGCCAGAAGTGGCTGCTCGCTTCTTATTGACGCCCTCCCTTTCCCGGTGCAGTTGGTCCCTGCTCCCTGACTCGGATCTGATTCACGTGGGGGAGATCTGATTCGGATCTGATTCAGCCGCTGGGAGGCAGCAGGTTTCTGTATTTCAGTCGGCCAGGCTGTCGCGTTGCCGGGTTTCAGACCATTGACTGTCCGCTCCGCTGGCTACAGATCCCCGCCCCCGCCCCCACATAGCCAGCATTATTGTAAATGGAGCCTGCAAAGGAATTCAGTATCCCCCCCTTGCAGAGTTACCCGTCCCTCCCTAGAGCAACGCTTGTGAGCTCTCTCCCCGGAGCCGTGCTGGTCCACCTCTAATCAGACCGGTCCCTGCTCAGCCTCCTTTCCGTGCTGAGCCCTGGAACTGACGCCCGGATGGGAGGCCGAGGCTGACAGATGCTGATTAGAACGAGGATGTTCCCGGTTCTAGCTGAACGCCAGCACCCAAGCATGTGTGACGGGCGAGGGAGTGTCGTGGGCCTCCGTGGGCAGCGTGCCCCCCATTGCCTGTGGCATTGTGCCGTGGGGTGAGTGCCCACCGGGTGTGGCATTTCTCTCCCTGAGCATGTGGTCGGCCTGCTTGGCAAGTGCCAACCCAGTGCAGTGATCTCAGCCCGGGTGTCTCGCTGGGCTGTCGCCGCTCGTCCGCCGCCACCTCTCCGAAAGCTCCCCGTTACGCCCGCAGTGACACCCACACAGACGGGCTGCCCCGAGGCACCTGGTGGCCAGAGGGCGGAGCAGCAGGTTGCAATGCTCCATTTGTAACGCGCCTGCCTTCTGCTTCCAGATAACAAGAGCAACATCGACGCCCATCTCTGCCAGCAAGGAGGCATGTTTATGTGTCCCAACACCACCCAGGACCCCCACAAAGAGGCCACCAGCATGTGGGCAATGATGGTGGTAGCCCAGCTGCTGGCTGGCATCGGGACCGTTCCCATTCAGCCCTTTGGGATCTCCTACGTGGACGACTTTGCTTCGGCCAACAATTCTGCGCTGTACATTGGTGAGTACCAGGCTTCTGCTGCTAGCAACACCCTGACACAACACCCACACAACACCCTGACACAACACCACATACCCTGGCTGTGTCTCCGATACGTGTGGTGGAACATGCCGGAAGTGGCTGCTCGCTTCTTATTGACGCCCTCCCTTTCCCGGTGCAGTTGGTCCCTGCTCCCTGACTCGGATCTGATTCACGTGGGGGAGATCTGATTCGGATCTGATTCAGCCGCTGGGAGGCAGCAGGTTTCTGTATTTCAGTCGGCCAGGCTGTCGCGTTGCCGGGTTTCAGACCACACCCGGCTTTAAATGGTGGCGACAATTTAAAAATATTAATCCTGTTAAAAATCCAGTTCGGCTGAAGATGGCAATCTCCGTTCTTGGCTGCAGCATTGCCCTGCGTGGCTACATTGGGATAGTGCCGGCGTGGCAAAGGACAGATCTCTTTAGCTAACAGTAAATGTATTTAATTACATTTTGAACTAGAAGATTTACCCGATGCTGCTCGGGTCCTTAACTCTATTTTGCTTTTCTTCACTGAAATCATTGCGGGGGGGCTGAGGGTTCATTACGCAGGCTGCCCCCGGGGAGAGAGGACTAACCAGCCCTCTCTCACCGCAGCAGCTTGGGGCCAGGCGAGAAGCACCTCTCTGTGGCTGCTGCAGCTGTGGGAGGAGGGGGAGTGTCCCCTAGCTGGGGAGGGACAAGCAGACAGACACACAGACAAACTCTCTCAAAAATATAGTAGGTAGCTGTCCCTTTCTCCAGCCCTGCCCTCTGCTGCCCCAGTGGGGTTGTAGCTGTCCCAGCACCATCTCTGTCTCCTTGCTGCCCCCCTGTGGCCATTATATAGTATAACAGTCCCTGCTAGCAGACCTCCCGCTTTCCGTGTTATGAGCAACAGTTGCATTCCAGGCACATCCCCATTGTCCTGGTACAACCAAGCCCTTATCTCGCTTTAAGTTATGATAAAAGGAAGTTGCCTACTGAATTTGGTGGTCTCTGCTCTTCTAATTTACGAGGAGCTCTTGGACAGACAGACAGACTCTCTCAAATATGTAGTAGATGATTAAATATTAGCTGATTGTGGTAAATCAATGGGTGGTAAAAAATGTAGCCTTAATGCCAGGAAGAGAAAAGTGAAACCCATTAAACCAGAGCTAAATAACAAGGGTACAACGCTTCAATTAACGCAAGCCATTTTTATACGTATTATAAAAATTAGACACACATTTTGGGCAGTACTCCAAAACATCTTGGACTTGCGGTAATTGAAAGGAGACGCCCCATTTGGGACATGGGTGGTAAAAAATGTAGCCTTAATGCCAGGAAGAGAAAAGTGAAACCCATTAAACCAGAGCTAAATAACAAGGGTACAACGCTTCAATTAACGCAAGCCATTTTTATACGTATTATAAAAATTAGACACACATTTTGGGCAGTACTCCAAAACATCTTGGACTTGCGGTAATTGAAAGGAGACGCCCCATTTGGGACAAGCCCCCCCCCCCCCCATGCTATTTCTGATCCTTGACAAGGGGCAGGTCTATGCTACTGCAGGTGCCCGCTGGCCTGAACGCAGGGTGATGGTCCTGGCTGCAATCACCGTGGTGAAATCGTTCTATGAACTGACCTAGCCCCACCCGGGAGGCCTCTCCCTCCGGGGAAAGGATGGGCTGCTCCTCTGGGACATAGCCGGGATTGCCGATGCTCTCTGGCCTAGACAGAGGCCTGGCTGAAAATTTTCCATCAAACCTGATTTTCAGTAGAAAATTGGGCTTTCGACTAATTGTGCCTGGAAACTGAAATATTAAGATTAAAAATGGCACCTAATGGCTCTCGACGCTCAAGTGCCTTCCGCTCCCATCCTTCTCTCGGCCGAGCGCTCGCCGGGCTGCACCATGGCCTCCGCTGTGGGGTAACCGCCGCTCGCCAAGAGGGAAGGAAGCAGTGCATTGTGGGAGAAGCCCCCTGGCCACCCAGCCCCGCCCATGCCTGGAAACTGAAATATTAAGATTAAAAATGGCACCTAATGGCTCTCGACGCTCAAGTGCCTTCCGCTCCCATCCTTCTCTCGGCCGAGCGCTCGCCGGGCTGCACCATGGCCTCCGCTGTGGGGTAACCGCCGCTCGCCAAGAGGGAAGGAAGCAGTGCATTGTGGGAGAAGCCCCCTGGCCACCCAGCCCCGCCCATAGATTAATATGGGAGCATGTGGTGCCCAAAAAATGTTTTGGTTTTCTATATTTTGTACCCCCAACATTTTCCAGGGGGGAAATTCAACCAGCTGTAGTAGGCATTTTTATCCCCAAGCCTGAGCAACCAGGGAGTGACTCTGCCCCCAATGGATGGCGCCCCGCTGTCCCAGCGGCCCTGGGGCGGGGGGATTTCATGGCACTTGAAAAAAAAGCCACAAGCCGAATTTCCACCTCTGCTGGGTTCTCATGCCCCCGCTCACGCCCCGTGTAGCACCGAGCAGCCCTTCGCTGCGATGCTCCTTCGCGGCAAGGCAACGCCCCCTTGGCCCTGAGTAGCGGGCCGCCCCCTGCGCTTGGGGCTGGCTCGCGATGCCGGCCGGGCGTGGCCGAGGGAAGGGCCGGAGGGACTGGCAGCGGTCCAGGCCGCAGGGGTATCCAGCACAAACACACACGTCGGAGCCTGGGGCTCAGTTTCCTCTCTGAGGGGGGTGGGGGTGGGGGTGGCTCCCGCCTGCTGTTTCCTGTGGATTTGCTAACTCCCAGCAGATTTCCCCGCGCTGCTCGGGTCCTTCGCTCAACTCAGCTCTGCCCCTTCCCTGTGTGACTCCTCGCTCTGAGCTGGGTGGGGAGGGGGGCCCAGGGTGCAGGCTGCCCGGGGAGAGAGGCCCCTCCAGGGGATGGACTGGGATTGCGGCTCAGGAAGCCGGCGGGGGGAAGGGGCTG